ACAGTGTAGTTAGACATGACAGAGTTGGAAAGGAGGAGAAGAACTAGTTTGAAAAAATGTTAAGTGCTGTTGAGTCAGTTCCAACTCATAGCAACCATGTATAGGGTTTCTGAGAAGTGGCTAGTGAGTTTAAACCACTGACTTTGCTGTTCAAACTGACCTTAAAGTCCAGTGCTTATCCTATGGGGCCAAACTAGGACTCCAGTAAAAAATAAAAAAAGTAGGAGAGATAAAATAGAACTTAACTCTGGAGGATTGAAATGCTACTCTACAGAGTTTGGATTTTATTCTCTGGGAAATGGGGAATTATTGAATGCTTTGAAACTGGAGAGCAGCAAGATTTTCCTGCTAGCAAGTCTGTGGGACTCTAAAGCCTCACCCACTCCCCTATGCAGAAGTGGAGTGATTGCTTATGCTAGGTAGAAATCAAGGACGTGAGCCTGTGTCCTGCAGTGGAGAAAAATGAACAACTGTCCTTGAAATCCAGATTGGAATCTTAGGCTTCAAATCCTAGGTTTGCCACTGTAATAGTTACTTCTCTGTGTCGACTTGACTAGGCTATGGTGCCCAGTTGTTTGGCCCAATACTACTCTAGTTGTTGCTATTAATATATTTACATGGACTAGCATTTAAATCAGTTGACCTTAAACTCAGCAAATTGCCTCCCATAAGGTATGGGTCTCATCCAATCAATTGAAGACCTTAAGAGCAAAAAGTGAGGTTTGCCGAGGTGGTAGAACTCTGGTTCAGATTGTAATTAAAAAGGACTGCTTAGAAGCACTATTCACAGTAGCAAGAAGGTGTAGACAGCCTAAGTGCCCATCAGTGGAAGAATGGATAAACAAACATTGGTTCATCCACACAATGGAATATTATGCTACCTTAAACAATAACAAGGAAGCTGAAAGCCATCACATAGCATGGGTGAACCTTGAGGACATTATGCTGGGTGAAATGAGTCTGTCACATCAGGACAAATATTGCATAAGACCGTTATTGTAAAAGTATAAGAAAAAATATCCACACGAAAAGGGGGAAAAAAAGGTTATTTGTTGGGGGCTGGGGAGTGAAGAGCCAACAGAGAAGGTATAGCACAGGGTAAAAAGGATAGACACACAATAATAGTTTGGGTGTTGGTGGAGGGCAATACACAAGAAGGGGAGGAGAATGGAAGAACAAGGCAGATAGGAGAACATTTAGGCAGGTTTGCATGAGCCAAATGGGACAGAAGTAAATAGTGATGTATGCTCAACCTTGGAACAACAAGGCTCTGGGATGCAGGGTTGAGGCATAGTCTGAATGGGTAAAAGAGGGGCAATAATGTTAAGATGCTTGACTGTCTTATGAATCTTGGTTTCCCTTGCCTACTATTGTAAAATAGACACTTGAGGGGGAGAGAAAGGAATAGCCAGAAATATCACCATAGAGACCTTCAGCCTATAACTGATTGGAATAACTAAAAGGGGGCTAGAACTTACCCAGTGAAAGAGGCTTCCTGTAGAACCTTTGTAGTGTGTAAGACCTTAGGTGGAATCCTGGTCCCCATTCAGAATTTTCTGAGGTGGGAAATTTCCACTTGAAAAGACAAGCAGACCAACCTGGAGCAGCTAGAGGAACAGAAAATACTTATTGAAAAAAAGACCAGCAGGAAAAATGAAAAACAAAAACTGCAATCTGATTGACTACCACAAGAACAAGCAAATTGTCCACAGGGGAGCCATCAAGGCAAGCAATCAAGTGCGTTCAAGGCAAAACCCCTTCCAAGACTGAAACTCAAAGTGAATATATGAGCAGGCATGTAATCTTGCTGGCAACCATGTTGGTCTACCGATGAGGGGAAGTGGGGAAAAACAGCAATGAAGATGTGGACTGAGTCTGGCCACATTACATAGATTCGGCCAGCCTGGAGTATGGTGAGATCTGGTTGGCCAGCAGTATGGTGAGACCTGGGGACCCCTGAGCCCATGGACAAGGACATAGCCACAGAGGGCTAGAGCAGAGAGTGAAGTGTCCAGCTGAAATGAAGTGAGGGAAGATGCACAAGAACACCCATACTTGCAGATAGTATCCATTCGACCTAGCTTCCTTCAATAGCTGGATGATCAGAACTCAACTAGAGGAAGAAAGAAAAGAAGAAAGAAGAAAAACATTTGTTGTTGTTGTTTTAATAAAGAAAACAAATGTAATTCACTGCAATTTGATGAACTTGACCTATACTTATGGATGTAGTAGCTTAAAATACCAACCAAGAAGAAAGGAATCTTCACAGCAAGGATCATTCCCACCCTCTCTGTACACAGGGTTGGTAGAGATGGGCAACTTAGACATTGGCTACCTAAAATGTGGGAGACTATAAAGGCATGAAGTGACTGGCTTACAAGTTTTCAAGAGGGAGTTTAGTTTTAGATGGTGTGGGGGAAGGTAGAATCTCTTCTCCACTGAGTGGTTTTCAAAAGTGCCATGGGCTGCCAATAGAACCAATAGATCCATTTTGGAAGAAGTGTAGCCAGAGTGTTCCTTGGAGGTCAAGATGTCCAAACTTCATCTTTCACACTTTGGACATATTGTCAGGAGGGACCAGTCATTGGAGAAGGATATCATGTTTGGTAAGGTGGAGGGTCAGAGAAAAAGAGGAAGACCCCTAATGAGATGAATTGGACAGTGGCAGCATCGATGGACTCAAGAGTGGCAACTGTGGTGAGGTTGGCCCAGGATCGGGCAGTGTTTCGTTCTGCTGTGCATAAGGTCATTATGGGTTGGTACCGACTTGATGGCACCTAACAACATCAGCAACAGATGAGGCTGGTGAAAGGATATGGGGATAAAACTCTTGTGGTTCAATAATGTATATACTGTTATCGTGACTGATTGCAATTGTTGCAACTGTAAAGGTAATTGTTTTGTAGCAAAAATCGGGGAGTGGTTGATCTTACAGTCCAGGAGTAGAGGGTTCTGGGACCATCAAGGGAGAAGAACAAGAGTGGAGTGTGGGACCCTATTCAGAGAAGCAGTGATGCCCTAGATGGAGGTAGTGATGATGATGTGGAGAGATAGAGCAACTGGGGACTCTAGACTCAAGGAGGGAGAGGGGTTGTGTGCTGGCAGCCGGGGGAGGGGGGGCAGGCTTGCAGGGTATGCCCTTTGGGTGTTTGAATGATTACATATTCCTGCGTGTTTTGGTGTACATTAAAAAAAAAAAAACAACCGAGGAATAGAAGCAAATACTGTAGAATAATGATGTCTGGAGGGGATTGTAATCATTGCAATGAAACGAAATACGATAGTATGAGTGTAAAAGCTGATGTTCTCCTGTGTAAACTATCACTCAATTCACAATAAAAATTTTAAAAATGAAAGGAAAAAGGACTTCTAGAATTTCCATCCTGTCATCTGATGTAGGGATTTTAGACTCACAAACCCATACAGTCATGTGAACCTATTCACATGACCATATGAATTCGTTATGTTTCTCTAGAGAACTTCAAAACAGCCATTTTCTAGCTTTGCATTTTCAAGCAATTGAGTTAACAAAAATAGCAGTACCTATCTCTTAAATTCATTTTAAATAAATATACATAAAATTCTTAAAACAGTGACTGGCACAGAAGCACTTAACAAAGATTAATTATTTTCAGATGTAAAATCAGTAGACTTAGCCACTAGTTGAACTTGAGAAACAAGGGAAAAAGAGTTGAAACTGTTCATCAAAGGAATGTGCCAAATGCTCAGACTTATTAATAGTAGCTAGAAAACAAAAGGAAAATTTTGAGGGAAGAACTGTTCTATAATTTTCAAAAGTGTAAAGGAAATAAAGAGGGACTGTTCATGCTGAAGGGGACCAGAAGTTATGACGACCAAAGGCCATGTATGATTCTGAACCTGCTTCATTGGCCTCAGACATAGTTGGGACAACTCAACTGAAATTTGAATGGCATCTGAGGAGAATGTGTTTGTTTCTGTGTAGAATATCATACTAAAGTATTCTGGGTTGGTGTAACATTAGATAAACAATTTATTCTCAAATGTTTCAAAAAGTTCTCTGTGCTGTACTTACAACTCTTCTGTATGTTTGTGACTGTTTCAGAATGAGATCATTTATTTTAAAAAGCAACAGCTAGCAGGCTCTATACAATAAGTTCTGGACTGCAAACCATAAAATCCGCAGTTCAAGGCAGCCAGCCGAACCAAGGGAGAAGGATGAGGCTTTCTGCTTCCTTGAAGATTTAAAGCCCAGGAAATCGTATGTTGTTGCTGTTGCTAAGTGCCATTCGTTGAGTCAGTTTCAACTCATACAGACCCTATACAGGGTTTCTGAACAGCATCTGGTGGGTTTGAACTGCGTAACTTGTAGTTCTCATTCTAGTGCTGATCCACAGTGCTACACCAGAAGTCCAGGAAACCTTATACAGGGTCACTATGAGTCGGAACCGTCTCAACAGTACTTAACAACAAAGCATTTGGTGGGTACTCTATGTATCTGGTGTTGCACTGTGAGTTAATGCACTGGACAGCAAAGTTGCTTTGAACCAAAAGGTCGGTGGTTCAAGCTCACCAGCTACTCTTCAGAAAGTCTATACAGGGTCAGCATGGGTTGGAACCGACTCGATGGCACTTAACAACAACAACTATGTATCCGGCACTATGGTCATGCTTTGCACATGAACTGAGTGGACTCAGTTCCCCAGGAAACTTCTGTGATTTGCATCCTTAGGAAAGTAGAATCACATGCCCCGTCTCTTGCCCTTATAGCAGATCCACCTCCATCTAGTAACTGCCTGCTGCTTTTCTGTAACACCATCTCTTCCCCATAGACAGTACGCTCTTTGACGCCAAGGACTATCTCATTCTCCCTTATATCCCTAGCTCTCAGCACAACTCCTTCTATACAGAAAGTGACTAATACATGGTCAGTAAGTGAAGCAATGAAGTGTGCTCACCACAGTGCTTACCACAGGCACCAGATTTGTGATGTACAGTTAACAATATGACTTCTTTTTAAGGTGGCCCTGGCTCTGGCAAAGGCACACAATGTGCAAAACTGGTGGGAAAATACGGATTTACACATCTCTCAACTGGTGAGCTTCTGCGTAATGAACTCACATCAGAATCTGAAAGAAGCAAATTGATCAGAGACATCATGGAACGGGGAGACCTGGTGCCCACGGTAAGCAGCACAACATGCCCTACACAGCTGCCTTCCCTGACTGGGGAGATATATTTGGAGTGTTGTAATTACTCTAAGCTGCTGGAACAAAGAAATCTAAAGAGACAATAGCTGTACTTTATTTGTCTTATTTAACAATCCAGAGCATGGCAGGAGGTCCATAGCAGATAGTACGTCTGCCCTACTTACTCGTTCAGGCCCAAGTTCTTCTGTTTTCTTCTCTGCCAGTCCCTTGAGAGTTATCCTCACCAAAATGGTGACTGCTGACTCACCACCACCACACCCATGTTCCAGCCTGAGGAAGGAAGAATAGGAAAATAAATGAACATCACACACTTTCTGGTTAAGGGAGTGACCCAAAAATAAAGCACACACCACTTTTGCTTGCATTCTACATTTGGCCACACCTGGATAAGCACTTGACCGCAGGTCAGTTTGCAAGGTTGATTGTTCAAACTTGGCAGCCTCTCCTCAGAAACCCTATGCAACTTTGCTATGAGTCGGAACAAACTCAATGGCACTTAACAACAACTGTAAGGCAAGCAGGAAAATACAGTCTCTCTTTGAACAGCCAAGGGACCTGTTAAAATTTGGGTTTGAGGGGTGTGCTATTACTAAGCAGAGAAGAAGAAATGGATAATGAACAACTGTCATTTCCAGAAAGGAGGGACTTAAGCTTCCCCAATGCTCTTTGATAAATTAATCCCCTCTAACAAGGAGTCCTGGGGAGCTCTGGTAACACAGTGGTTATGAATCAGGCTGCGAACCTTAAGGTCAGCAGTTTGAAACTACCAGCGGCTCCATGGAAGAAAGATGAGGCATTCTGCTCCTGTAAAGATTTACAGCTTCGGAAATCCTGTACAGAGTCGCTATGGGTTGGAACCGACTCGACAGCACTTAACAACAACAACAACAAGGAGTACTGGGTTGACGCTGTAGGATTAATACTGGACTGCTAACTTAAAGGTTGATAATTCAAACCCACCACTTGCCCCTCAGAAGCCCTATAGAGAGTCACTGCTATGAGTTGGAATGAACTTAATAAGAGGTTAACAACCACCAAGCACTAAGTTCCTCATTTTGATTATAAATAGCCTTCATACAATTCCAAATAACCTTGAGATAAGACCTTTTCTAGGACCACATTTTAGCATAGTGGGTTATGTATGTAGTAACCTCAAGGTCAGCAGCTCTAACTCACCAACAGCTCCATGGGAGAAGGATAAGGCTTTCTAGTCCTGTAAAGATTTACAGTCTTGGAAACCCTCTACAGGGTCGCTATGAGTCGGAACCTACTCGATGGCATGCAGCAGCAGGACCATATTTTTTCACAGAGGGAGGAAATATGAAAGGGCTCTGGAACCTGAAAGTGGAAGTTGGGAAAGTTCCAATAAGAAGGAGCATCAAAGACAAAAAATAGTCTATTTCACAGTTTTCCCCAGATTGGGCCCCAGCATTAGAGTTCAAAATCTGCAAAGCAGAGGTGAGTATGATATAGCAAAACCTAGAATTAGAACCCCCCAGGACCTAACAACAACATCTAAGGGAGCTCCCTGCTTCCTCCTTAACCAGATGCAGCCTGTTCCCCGCTGGAAAGCCAGACTGGTCCTCACAGAAGGATAACAAACCACTGCACTTGCCTCCTTAGCTTGTCTCCCTGCTTTTACTCTTTTCCCCTCTATTCTACTTTTTTCACAGCAGCCAGATTAATTCCCCTAAAACATCTAGCAAATTGTGTTATCTTCTTCCCTAGAACCTTCCAACGACTTCCCACCACACTTACAATGAAATCCAGAGGCCTTCCCACGGCCCACAGAGCCCCTGGCTGGTATAAACACTGACCACTGAAAATTCTGGCGATCTACTTTTAAAACCAGCCATTGAAAATCTGATGGAGCACAGTTTTACTTTGACACACATGGGTTCACCCTGATTTGGAATTGACTCAACAGCAACTGTTTGGGTTCTTTTTGTGTTGTTTTGTCCCCTGGCCTACAAGGCCCTGTTCATTCTAACCTCTCACTAGATCTTTATTTCCTACCACTCACCTTGCTCACTCCCACTCAGCCTCTGATTTCTTTGCTCCTCTCGTAAGCCAGCCAGGCTGCTCCTGCCTCAGGACCCTTGCACTTGCAGTCTCCTCACCTTGATGCGCTCTTTCAGAGAATCACATACTTTGCTCCTTTGCTGTTGTTGTTAAGTATCTTCGAGTTGATTCTGACTCATAGTTTTCGAAAACCGACTGGTGGGTTTGAACTGCCTACCTTGTGGTTATCAAGTCAGTGCTTATTCTACATTGCCACAGCAGCACTCCTTAGTTTGCTCCTTTCTTCATTCAGATTTCTGTTTTAATGTCACAATTTATCAAAGAGGCCTTCCCTAACAATCCTCTCTAAAATAGCCCTCCAACCAACCCTCTGTGCCTCTTTGCCCTGCTTTAATGTTTTGCGCATAGCTGCTCTCTCTAGCTGGCTTTTCACTATATACTTGTTTATCTGGTCTCTGGCTTCCTCATTGGGATATAATTTCATGAGGAGTTAATTTATGATTCTCTAGAGATAGATTCATAACCCCTTTGTCCCCCAAAGGTCACGAGATGCCAGGGAACAGAGGAAGCCACCCATTTTGGCAACTGATTGCATTTTTCCTACACACATTCTCAAGCTTTTGTGTCTCTCTGCTCTTTCATTTTCCACAAGCCCACGTTAAATCCAAAAAAATTTAACAGAGTAAACACAGTTGTTAGAATACTATTTCACATCTACTGAAGGTCATCACAAATCATTGGCTGTTAAATATTATGTTTACTAGAAAAAATATTAACAATGAGATATATTTTATACCATAATGTGTCTCGTTTTAAAACTACAATTTTGTCTAATTCATGGATAGCTACCATATGATATCATAGTTCATCAAATCTAAGATACCATCTATTTTAAAACACTCAAGTAGAAATAAACCAATAAGAAAAAAAACACCAACAATGAAACGATGTCCCAGCACTGATTATATGATACCTACAATTTCATAAGAGTCCTGGTGTGGTGTTGTGGGTAAATACACTGGATTGCAAGGTTGGTTTGAACTGCAAGGTCAGCGGTTCAAGTTCACCAGCTGATTTTCAGAAACCTATACAGGGTCGCTGTGAGTCATAACTGACTTGACAGTACTTAACACCACCAACAACAATTGTTGTGAAGTGCTGTCAAGTCGGTTCTGACCCAAAGCGACCCTGTATAGGGTTTACTAGGAGCATCCGGTGAGCTTGAACCGCTGACCTTGCAGTTCAAATGGCTTTGCAGTCTGGTGCATTAACCCACAGCGCCACACCATGGGGAAAAGAAAAGTGGAACTTACAATTGATGAAATATGATTTATTGTTGTCATTTATTAATCTTGCATGAACCTTTTTCCCTTCATAACAAGGGAATTAAAGAAGACCTATGGTGATTGAGACTTTGTGCTCCCATAAAGATTTACAACCTCAGAAACCCTATAAGGGTTGCTATGAGTCAGGACCAGCTCTACAATACATCACCACCTCCATGGTTATTCTGGGAGTCCTGATGTGGCTCTGTAGGATAAGCCCTGGATTGCTAACTGCCTGGTCAACAGTTCAAACCCACCAGCCACTCCTTGGAAACTCTATACAGAGTCACTATGAGTCAGAACTGACTTGACGGCGCTTTAACAGCAACAATAAATGGTGATTCTGGAGTCCTGGTGTGGTGCTATAGGTTATAAGCCCTGGACTGCCAACCAGATGGTTGATGATTCAAACCTTAAACAGGGTCATTATGAGCCTTAACTGACGTGATGACACTTAATATCAACAACGTGGTAATTCTGGTAGCTCTTCACAATACGTACTGGACTGCAAGCAACAAGGTTCGCAGTTTGAGTTCACCAAATACTCTGCAGGAGAAAAATGAGACTTTTTGCTCCTTCGAAGACATACAGCCTTAGAAACCCTATACACAGGGTCGCCATGAGTTGGAACCACCTCAACAGCACACGGTGATTCTGTAGTTTCTGGGTGGTATAAATGGTGAGTCCTTTTGGTTGCTAACCAAAAAGTTAGGGGTTCAAATCTACCTAGAGATACCTTGGAAGAAAGGCCTGGAGATTTACTTCCAACAACTCAGCCGCTGAAAACCTGTGTGGCAAAGCTGTGCTCTGACCCACATCAAGTTACCATTCCCCAGCAGCTGGCGTGTGTGTGTGTGTGTGTGTGTGTGTGTGTGTGTGTGTGTGTGGTGATTCTAGTGTGGTTCTGTGGAGAGCTCTCTTTCTGATCCTGACCACTCTCCTTCTTTTTGCTCCAGGGCATCGTTTTGGCACTTCTAAAGGAAGCTATGGCAGCCAAGGTCAGTCACACCAAGGGCTTCCTGATTGACGGCTACCCTCGAGAAGTCAAGCAAGGGGAAGAGTTTGGACGCAGGGTGAGCTGTTGTTCTGGGGATCAACCAGGAAAAAAATAGGGGACCATAGAGGTTAGGGAATAAATTCAACATTTACCCCCTTTCCAATTATATTAATCGAAGTTACCAGTTACAAATGGCAACAAAACAAAGAGCTGAGATAGAATTTATTGGATCCAATAATGAAAAATTTCAGGGATGGTTCAGACTTCGATCCATCTGACTTTCTCCATCTCTTAGATTTTCTTTCCATTTGTTGGCTTCATTTTCTTCCTGTTCCAGGCTTGTGAGTGGCCTCACAGAAAGAGAATTACATATCCTAAGGGTCCAGAAAAAGACCAAAGGTTGTGTTTTATTGATCTGATAAGGCCCCTAATCCATCACTGGACTAGTTACAATGGCCACAGGGAAACAGGGATGGAGTGTGCTAGTTGGTCCAGCCTTACGAATCAGGCTGCTAATCTCACGGTCAGCAGTTGGAAACTACCAGCTGTTCCATGGGAAAAAGATGAAGCTTTCTACTCCCGTAAAGATTTACAGCCTTGGAAAGACTGTGCAGGGTCACTATGAGTCGGAACCAACTCCACGGCACATAACAACAACAACAACAAATTTTAATAGAGGAGCCCTGGTGTGGCGCTCTGGGTTAATGCGCTGGACTGCAAAGTTGGTTTGAACCTCAAGGTCGGTAGTTCAAACTCAACAGCTGTTCCTTGGAAACCCTATACAGGGTCACTATGGGTTGGAACTGACTCAACAGCACAAAACAACAACACTATTAAAAGAAGTACCACAAGTGGGTGGCTTTAACAACCCAAAATCCATTCTCCCACAGTTTAGGAGGCTGGAAGTCCAAATTCAGGGCACCAGCTCCAGTGAAAGGCTTTGTCTCTGTGTTGGCTCTGGGGAAGGGTCTAGCCATCAGCCTTCTCCTGTGTCTAGGAGGTTCCAAACACAGAGACCCTGGCTGGGGCCAAAAGACAAGATCTGCTTGGCCTCTTTTTTCTTTGTGGTGGTAAATCCCTCTCTTTTTTTGCTTATTTAATCTCTTACATTTTAAAAGAGATTGACTCAAGATACAACCTAATCTTGTATTAACATAAATGCCAGTGATCCTGCCTCATTAACATATAGGTTAGGAGTTACAACACATGGGATAATTACATCAGAAGACAAAATGGAGGATAATTACATAATACTGAGTGAGTCTTATGGCCTAACCACTCCTGACACACATTTTGGGGGAACACAGTTCAATACCTACCAAGCCTGTGGGAAGAAGGGACAAAGAGGAGTGGATACCATACTTGAACTACACAGACAGAAAGTGGAGGGAAATTACCTAAAGGGGAAAAAATATGAATGCTCTTACAAGAAGACTAGGAAATGAATGTTGGACAGGCAAAAATCAACAAATATGTACCACCCCATCCTCCTCTTTCCCCCAACCTCCCTGGCCCCCACCCACCCTCTCCTAATGCAAAGAGATCCCAGAGGGCTCAAGGCCACTCAGGGGAACAGTAAGAAATCATAACCATTGTGTTGTTATTATGTTGTTGTTAAGTACCGTTGAGTCCATTCTAACCCATAGCAACCCTGTATAGGGTTCCGAGAAGCAGCTGGTGAGCTTGAACCGCCAACCTTGCAATTCAACCGGCTTTGCAGTCTGGCGCATTAACCCACAGCGCCACACCAGGACTCCAGTAAGCAGTGTAGCTATCGTTTATTAAACCTACTCTGGTTTACAAATTTTACATTTGTTATCTCTAATCTTACAAAAGCCAAGAAAGATGGTAACAATTGTCTCCATTTGTTAAACCAAGGTTCCAGAACATAAAAAGGATTAATATTTGTATCTTATCTCTTTAGACTAGTTTTCGAAACACTTATATACATATCTTATTTGATTTTTTTAAATACCTTTTGAGGTAGATTGTTGTTGTTGTTAGGTACTATTGAGTCGTTTCCAACTAATCGGACAGAATAGAATTAACCGAGAAGGTTTCCAAAACTGTAATCTTTATGGAAGAGTCCTGGTCTGACAATGTGAAATAAGGACTGAACTGCTAACTGCAAGGTTAGTGGTTCAAATCCACCAGCCTCAGAAACCCCATATAGGGTCTCTATGAGTAAGTAGCCAACTGGATGTTGCTGTTACACTTAAGAACAACAGCAACAATATCTATGGGAGCAGATTGCCAGATCTTTTCTCCAACTGAGTGGCTGGTGAGTTCAAACTGCCAACCTTTCAATGAACAGCCAAGCACTTCCTTATGTTAAAGGTGACATAAGCCCAGAGAGGTTAAAGACTTTCCCACAGTCACACAGCTGGTATGTAACAAAGGTAAGATTTCTCTCCAGATCTGTCTGGTTCAATAGTCCATTCTCTTTCTGTCCTTCTTTGCCTGTTAGTAGAACTGAAAATATCCCCATCTCCCTCTAACTCTAACACTGCCACACTGATTAAGGTGAATAATACTTATGTTTAGCCTGACCTTCTGAGCTGCTGCTTTTTCCCTAGGTAGCAGCATCTGGAGGCATTGGTGGCTCAGTGGTAGACTCCTCACTTTCTGTGTGGGAGAGCCAGGTTCCAATCCCTGCACAGCCACCACCAGACTAGACTGTCAGTGGAGGCCTCTGTGTTGCTATGATGCTGAGCAGGTTTCAGCAGGGCTTCCAAAGTAAGACAAATGAGGAAGCAAAGCCTGGTGGTCTACTTCCAAAAATCAGCCAGTGAAAACCGTATGTGTATCACTACAGTGCAGTCTGCACCCAATCATGAGGGTGGAAGCAGGACTGTCTTTCCTTTATGTATGAGGTCTCCATGAGTTGGGGTCCACTAGGTGGCAGCCAACAACAATAAGATGGTATCTAAATGGTTGCTGTTGGTAAGTGCCATGGAGACGGTTCTGACTCATAGTGAGCCTGAACAGGGTTTCCGAGGCTATAAATTTTGACAGGAGCAGAAAGCCTCATCTTTCTCCCTTGGAACGGCTGGTAGTTTCAAACTGCTGACCTTGAGGTTGGCAGCCAACTTATAACCACTATGCTACCAAGGCTCCTTATCTAAATAGTAAAAGGATACAATTGCTCCCATTTCCCTGCATTTCTATTTGCAATCAGAGTTGAAGGAAAACGTCCCCATTCATGTTTAAGCAAATAGTCCAGTTGACAAAGATAGGCGCTGGTCCTAACCTGGCTGTCCATGGGCCTTTGTGGCTCTGCTTAGCACCTTCATCAACAAGGAGGTGGGGACAGAGAGAAGGAACCAAATGGATTTGTGTGCCACTGTGGTGGGTTCCAGGAAATTCTCTCCATTCCTACTTAAGAGATGACTTGGTAGGGAGCATGCACTCAGCAGAATTCTAATGATCTTCTTCCCAGAAAGCCAACCACTTTAAGGGCTGCAGATCCCAATATAAATCAACTATTTTTTTTTTTTACAAAATGGAACCGTCTGATTGTTTTGCATTTTTGTTTTTTCCAGTCTCTTAGCCAGTCAGGCTGTAGATAAGGGCCCTTACAGTACACTCTGAATAAGGAAAGAAGAGTGGCATTTCTCTTACACCACCTCAGAATTAATACACATGCTAGCTCAAAGGGGCACACAGACAAGGAAGGTGTGGTCCAGGCTCATGAGGAGCTTCTTGCCTTTTGGGGACTGGCAGTTAAGTAAACAAGTCACTAAGATTCTATGAGAGAGGTGTTCCAACTGCTGCAACAACTTATGGAGGAGGCAGGGTGGCCAGGTTTCAGATGGCCAGTACATTACATGGTGATTTCAATTACCTTGCCTGTGAACTTAAGATAAGAAGAGCCCTGGGAACACTGAAGAGAGTCAAGGACAGGTGTGACTTTCAAAACAGGAGCCCTGGTGTAGTAGTGGGTTATGTGTTGGGCTGTGAACCACAGGGTCAGCAGTTTGACTCCACCAAATGCTCCGCAGGAGAAAAACAAGGCTTTCTGTTCCCATAAAAATGTATAGCCTTTGAAAGCCTTGTTGTTAAGTGCTGTCGAGTCGATTCCGACCCATAGCGACCCTGTACAGGGTTTCCGAGGCTGTAAATCTTTATGGGAGCAAAAAGTCTCATGTTTTTCCAACAAAACAGCCAGTAGTTTCCAACTGCTGACCTTAAAGTTCGCAGCCCAATTCATAACCACCATGCTACCAGTGAGTTGGAATTACTTCCAAGTGCTTGTTTAAGTCTTTGTTCAATAAAGGAATTATTAATTCTTACAAGGTCATATGCTATACTTGCTTGGAAATGCTGGTGAAATTTTTTTCAATAATTCTTTTTTTAAATTGCCCTCAGAGATAATAGAATTTTCTTTTGATATGATTAATTATCAAGAATCATTTATATACAAGAGTAGATAAGATATATAGTAAGATGGAAATCTCCGCCCGCCCCCCCCTCCCCCGCAGGTGGGAATGTTGTTGTTGTTGTTAGGTGCCATCAAGTCGGTATTGACTCATAGTGACCCTAGGCACAGCAGAACGAAACACTTCCTGATCCTAGGCCAACCTCACTATTGTTGCCACGCTTGAGTCCATCGATGCTGCCACTTGGCCAATCCATCTCGTTGGAGGGTCTTCCTCTTTTTCTCTGACCCCTCACCCTACCAAACATGATATCCTTCTCCATGACCCCTCACCCTACCAAACATGATATCAAATGACGAACCATATATAAGTGTGTTTTATAAGCTATCAAAGGCTCTAAAACATTATCTCATTTTTTAATCACAACTTATACAAACCAATAAAACCCCTGCTCCTTTGCACCTTACTCGTTTTCTTATAACTAGTTAGAGTGAGTTAAGGGCTTTATGTGACCAATTGGCTATCCCTTGGCCTTTGGGTAAGTAAGAATTCAAATCATCCGTATAACCTTCCGCAACAAAAAGCAAAACATCGTCTCCCATTGTGACTTCCACTCAGACAGTTTTTAGAATGTGGCAGAGAAGAAGCTGAAGTAGAATTAGGAAGAGAAAAAGAGTCATCCGTATGAAGACTAAAC